AGACCCTTCATCAGAAAAGGGTCTAGGCCCGAAACGTCAGCCTCTCTGCTCCTATGATGCTGCTTGGCCTGCTGTGTTCATCCAGCTCTACACCTTGTTGTCTCGGATTCACCAGCATCTGCAGTTCCTACTATCTCTGATTCAGTCTTGTTTCGATGTTGTGACAAGTTTGAATTCGGCCAATTAATTTAAAACCAAACTCAGTGATTCAAAGCCTATTGAATTTAAAAATTGATGATGTCGACAACATGAAACCAATCATATTATAAGAATTTGATTATGTCATTACGGGTATATTGAAAAATCGGAGAGAGCCAACTGCCAACTGCAAGACGGACAACTGCTACCTGCCAGAATTAGCACCATTCAGTTCTCAGAGAAAACTCATCTAATTAATCAAAGGCACCACAGTATTTTAACTCAAAGTCCTTACAGGAGAAATTACAGCAGAAATAGCAGAAGAAAGACACTTGTGAAGAACCAGAGGTGACAGAATGTTCTAGAAGACAGTCTGTGTGAACTTGGGGAGATTTATTGCTTTTTATTAATTGGGTTTATATTAGTGGGACTTGTCTTTATTTAAACAGTATTTCCAGTAGAATTTAGACCAGTTAGGGAGTAGTTCATAGTCTAGGGGGCAATTGTTGGTTTGTTATTAGTTTTGTTAAGTTGTTCATTATTGGGTTAAATAAATAAATTGTTTCTTATTACTTGTAAAGTGGAGATCAGGGATTTTCTTTCTTTTAACCACTCTTTTAATAGATTATGAGTGGAAAAGCGAGCTTTGGGTGGTTTAGGGGGTAATTATTAGAGGGGAGCTCCTACTCCTGTCACAACAGATTAGGGATTGTTTTTTAGTTTAATTATCAGAGGGGTTCAGCCATTCCCCGTCGTAACACTAAGGAAGTAATAGTAGCGCATTTGGAAATTCATAATCTAATCAAGCAGAGTCATCATGTCTTTTCATGAAAGGGAAATTGTGTTTGACTAATTCAATAGAGTTTTGTCCGGAAGTTTCAATCAGACCGAATAGAAGAGAATCATTAGATGTATTTGGACTTCCAGAAGACATTCAACATGGTATATCACAGAAGATTAAGTTGTAAGATAAGAACTCCTGGTTTTAGCGGTAGTATTTTGACATGGATAGACAATGCCTTATGGGCTTGAAATAGCAGGCGGGGATAAGAGATTATTTTTCACTTTGCAACCTGTGACCAGTGGGATTTCACAGGGATCAATGCTGGGACTGCAGCTGTTTACAGTATATGTTAAGGTCTTGAGGGAAGGAAGCAAAAGTACTGTAGCCAAAATTGCAGACAAAAGAAATAGGTGGAAAGGCGCGTTGTGAGTGGGATACAAACAGTTTACAGAGAGCTATTGGTAGGTTAAGTACACAGGCAAAAAGTTGGCAAATAGAGTATAATGTGGGGAAAATGTAAAGTTGTTCAATTTGGAAGGGAGTACAAAGGAACAGTATCATTTAAATAGGGAAAATCTATGGAAAGCTGCAACACAAAGGGACTTAGAGGTACTTGTGCAAGAAACACAAAAAGCTGGCACACAGGTTATTTCAAGGGGGTTGGAGTATAAGAGTAGGGAGGTCTTGCAAGGTGCTGGGGAGACCACATCTGGAGTAATGAGAGCAGTTTTGTTTCCTTATTTAAGGAAAGCTACCATTTCATTGAAGGCAGTTCAGAAAAGGTTCATTAGGATAATCCCAAGGGACTGAACAGCCTACTCCAGTTCCTGTTCCTTATGGTCTTATGGTCTTATTGTCTTACGGAATGCAAGTCCAGGAGGGGGAAACAGAGATTGGAAGAGTTGGCGAGGGAGCAAAAGCCACAAGTCAGAGGCCAGTAGTGGGGAAGAAGCTGCAATTCTGAGGTTGGAGAAGGGAAAGAGGCCAGAACTCAGATGTCTAGAGCGAGGAGATGTCACAACTTGGAGTCAGGAGTGAGGAAAAGGTTTCAACTTTCAGGTTGAGGAGGGGAGGAGGCAGCAATTCAGGAGTTGGGAATGGGAAGATGTTGCAATGAAGAAATCACTGAGGAAGAAGGACCATTACTCTGATGTCAAGGAGCTTTGAAGCTACCAGTTGAGTCTCAAAGGAAACAAAGTTAGAAGTACCTAATGATGTTCAACAAGAATGCAGACCCCGTCAATTTACTGACATTAAAATGAAACAGTGTTAAATGGGGTGGCTTTAAACAAGGACTTACTGTAGTTACAATCCTGAGCCTACTTACTTCTTTTCTAGAATGTTGTGATAATTGCAGTGCTTGAGCCAGCATAATGCTGCGATCACCAATTAACACCAATGAGCTTCGGTAAGATGATGTAGCTAAATTCAGCCACTGAGTTTTTGATGCTGCCGTAAAGTTTGAAATTCAAATATAATAAGCAGTTGCATGCCTGCAGTTTTTATATTGCATTTATCTCTTGGACAATATTACTTATAGGGTGCTTCTTGATTCAGTCTTACTTACGAATTTGTGTTTGAGAAACAATTAGACCAATTTCCTTGGTCTCATTGCCTGAAACATGCTTTTTAGCAACACATAACAATCTGGAAATTAGGGCAGAAACCTAAATGCTCCCCCACCGACCAAACTTCCCACATTAAATAGCATGGTCATAATGGGATGAATGGCCCTCCAGGCTTTAAATTTCCATGATTGTGTGATTACTGTGCCAGAGCAAGTATTTTTAATGAGATGTTTCCATATTTGTCACTCATCTGATGTCAAATCAACCAGTAAAACACTCTGTTAGTAGCTGTTGCAGATCCGTTGATATTTGGCCACTTGAGTGCAAAGTGCTTCTGTGAATAACATTTACAAAGGCAGATGAAGGTATTTTTGGGCATAGATCTAGTTTTCAGAATTTCCCAGTTTTGACTACAATCAAGTTTTCCTTTATTAAAATAATGTTTGTGAACACCTGAGAGTGCTCAGACCTAATAAGATAGCAGTTCCTTTAGTAATACCCCAATTAATATGTTACCTGGAAAAGGGGAGGGCGAAGAAGCGTGAAGGCCAGTAAGATGCAAGAAGATGGGGCAAGAAGATGTCTTTGAGTAAAAGACTTATTATTTCAAAGCATTCTCATGTATGTTAGCCTAAGTTTGTAGTAGCTGGAGCCATGAAACAGCATCAAAACCATAAAACAAAGCCATTACTGTTGAGCTGAGCCATTTGGTTTCTTCTTTAGAACAAGTTTAACAAGAAATCACATTTAAACAGAATATAACTAACTTCAAGGTGGCTAGTGTCTTTACTGTTGAACCAACTTCATATCCCACCTGCCCTAGAGGTGTACAATAACATCTCTAACAGATTGATTAGAAAATGTCTGTAACTTAATTCAAACAAAAAATATTGATTTTACACTTTTCTACTTGAGCTGGTATTTTTGGCTTCTTCTTTCCCTGCTTGCCCCAACATGTTTCAACTCTTTATGAAGTGTTGCTGGTCCTTTTTGATGTTTGTCATCTGTCTCCTGCTTTTTGCTGCTTTCTCTGGCAGACACAAAAACAAACTCACAAATTAAGGCCTACTAGACCACCCCCAATGCAAAGGAATATCCTCAAGAATTACTAAGCTGAGTTTGAACTATGCAAGTGCAGTTGAGGGATTGTGTTGGCACATTGCTTTTACTATTATTATCAAAGGATGTGAAACTTTAGAAGAGACTGTAAGTTGTTAGGATGGAGTAGAGGAAGGATTTAAAGTTTACAAGGAAGTGAGTCATGGGATTGCCAGATAGCATACATGCATCATTGAAAATGATATATGAGGCTTTCCTCTCCCCTACTGTTGAGGTCATTGAATTCCTTCCTGCACTTGAGCATAGTACAGTGGACGTACTGCAATCATTAATAGCTTTTACTGCTCATTCCTGTTGTCCTGCAGCAGTCTACTTAGAACTTTTGGAAAGCCTAGAAGGAACATCTGTCTCTCTCTCTCTACTTGACGGCTTTCAAAAATTATTTAGTGATTTATCAAATTAGAGTGCCCCAATTCCTCCAGCATTCCACAGTACTGTTTCAGCCTAATAAGTAGTGGAAAGATAATTATTTTACTGCAGCACCAAACTTAGCAAATCTGCCAGTAAAAACATCTCAAATTAGTCTGCAATGAAAATACTGCAAATACTGGAGATCAGAAAGAAAACTGAAAGTGCTGGAGAAACTCTGTGGATCTGGCAGCATCTATAAAGAGCAAAACAGAGTTAATGGAACCCAACTTAAGAGATATATTGGATTTGAAACATTAACTCAATTTTGCTAACCACAGATTCTAGCAGGCCTTCTGAGTTCTGCAACACTTCCTCCTTTCCCATTCGTCTTAGATGTTTTGACAGCTGCAACCGCGATATTTTATAGCAATTTAATAATTAAGTGATTGAGTTAGAAGACCAGTAGGCATTGAGGCACAAATGATGCTTTTTGTCCGTTAACCATTGTGTCACTTTGCAGTCCCCTGAGTCAGAACAGTGAAATGCCTGAAGAACAAAATCAAGAACTTATACTGGAGCCTGAAGCTACAGGAGCTGGTAAAGTTGACCTTACGTTTATTCACTTGAGTAGAGAACATATGAAAATTATTGGTACCAGAAATTTTTAACTTAATTTTAAGGGTGTTGATTTCAATATTTGCTGTCATAGAGGTGTACAGTACGGAAACAGACCCTTCAGTCCAAATTGTTCATGCCGGCCAGATATCCTAATAAATCTAGTCCCATTTGCCAGCATTTGGCCCATATCCCTCTAAACCATTCCTATTCATATACCCATCCAGACGCCTTTTAAATGTTGTAATTGCACCAGCCTCCACCACTTTCTGGCAGCTTATTCCGTACACGCACCACCCTCTATGTGAAAAAGTTGCCCCTTGGGTCCCTTTTAAATCGTTCCCCTCTCATCTTAAACTTGTGCCGTCTAGTTTTGAACTCCCCCACCCTGGGGAAAAGACCTTGTTATTTTACCCTATCCATGCCCCTCATGATTTTATAAACCTCTATATGGTCACCCTTCAGCCTCTGACTCTCCAGGGAAAATAGCCCCAGCCTATTCAGCCTCTCCCTATAGCCCAAACCCTCCAACACTAGCAACATGCTTGTAAATCTTTTCTGAACCCTTTCAAGTTTCACAACGCCCTTTCTATAGCAGGAAGACCAGAATTGGACACAGTATTCCAAAAGTGACCTAACCAATGACCTGTACAGCCGCAACATGACCTCCCAACTCTTATACTCATTGCACTGACCAATAAAGGCAAGCGTACCAAACGCTTTCTTCACTATCCTATCTATCTGTGACTCCACTTCCAAGGAACTATGAACCTGCACTCCAAGATCTCTTTGTACAGCAACACTTCTCAGGACCTTACCATTAAGTGTATAAGTCCTGCTCTGATTTGCCTTTCCAAAATTCAGTACCTCACATTTATCTAAACTAAACTCTATCTGCCACTTCTCAGTCCATTGGTCAGTTTGATCAAGATCCCGTTGTACTCTGAGATAACCTTCTTCGCTGTCCATTACACCTCCAATTTTGGTGTCGTCTGCAGACTTACTAACCATACTTCCTATGTTCAGATTCAAATCATTTATATAAATGACGAAAAGCAGTGGACCCAGCACCGATCTTTGTGGCACAGGCCCCCTGTCTGAAAAGCAACCCTCCACCACCACCCTCTGTCTTCTACCTTCAAGCCAGTTCTGTATCCAAATGGCTAGTTCTTCCTGTATTCCATGTGCTTTAACCTTGCTAACCAGTGTACCATGAGGAACCTTGTCAAACGCTATACTGAAGTCCATGTAGATCACATCCACCGCTCGGCCCTCGTCAATCCTGTTCTTAAACTGTGCTGCCCTGTAGAACTTTAGGCTCAATCATGGTGATGAAACCTTTGATGCTGCTTGATTATCGGATTCTCTGCTGTCTTTTGTATATTTAGGAACTGAGTGAGTGTCAAATCACAGCTGGGGTCCCACATTTTACCTTTCAATGATGCAGCACTAACCCATTCATTTCCCTTACTGTGCTTATTCATCCATTTAGGATGATCAGAAATAACATGCTATAGTCAACTTTGTATGAATCATTGTGCGTGAAAGCCAATATTCCTAATTCTGCAACAGGTTCAGAAAGCCAGTAGATTACTAATGAATTACGAATTACATTCTGCTTAGCTTAAGGAAATTACCAATATATGTCTTGTAAAGAACAATCTTACTCTCATTAAGAAGTGTGATGAACCTTGCTAACTCTGTAAGAACATGAAAACAAAAGCAATATATCTATATCAGCTAAAGCAGAAATCACAGATTCGAAATGCTACCAAGAAAATAATTAATAAAGTAACAAATAAAAGGGATTTGGCTTCAAATTTGTTTTAAGCTTTAAATTATAAATCTAGACATTTTAAATGTCTAGTCAGTTCAGTTGTAGAACGTAGAGTTCAGTTGATAGTATCTCTCTTTGGCCATTGACCCTTTTCTAAATTGGAATATTTGCTTTTGGAGGAACAGTTTCAGATATAATTTCAGATATTAAATTATATCAGAGGTACAGATTGATGTAGCGTGTCCTCAAAATACTTAATCCTGAATTTTGCATTTATATGCAAGCCAGTACTTTGCTGAAGCACCCTTAGCCTTCATGTGGAAGGTATAGCTATAAAGCCAGAATCTTACCATGAATGCAGGAGATCAAATCACCTGAAAGAAAGCTGAGAACTCCTATGGCAAAGACGAATGAAGGTCTATTTTAACCACATGATCGTTACAACTACAGTAGTTACTGCTTGTGGTTTTCATTACCCTCCATTTTTTGTCTTTCCAATGGATAGAATTTTGTGCCCTTTTCTATGGCAGGTTCAGCAGCAGGAAAGGAACTTAATCAGGCAGGTGGTTGGGCGGTTGTTACAAGCCAACTTCTTATGTCCAAAACAAATTACACCCATGGTGGAATGGCCTTCATTTCCTGCTGCCAGTTTATGCCAAAAGTGGCCATTTCATGTCCACTTAAGGAACTCATCCCATAACCCATTATTTTCCTAAGTAGCAGGTAAGGGATCTGCCATGCATAGCAGGCTAGGTGGGACTGTTTAGTGTTGTCCATCTGTTAAAGGCACTCACTGCTTGATTGAGGGAGTCCTGGCAGTGAGAAATGGGAGAGGCTACTGAGAATCACCCTGTCTTTCCTTTGCTGTTGACTATTTTGCTCCCATGTAACCCCATACCACAAGCCCCTACCTGCTTCTCTCACTTGTCACTGGTTCCTTCCCCTGTGAGGCCTAAGGTGGGTGTAACCACTGCCTGTTGAATACCAAAGACCTGCTATTTTCAGATTGGCTGACAGCTCTTGGGGCAGGAGTACAGCATCCTTGATTCTGGGCTGGTTGGCTGGTGGCCTGTTAAGTACATGAATGCCACAAGATGCAGCAGACCATCTTGAACAGAGGTGATGCAGGCATCTCGACAGCTCTCAGACTACTGGCCGCAGATCTCCAACATATCCAGTCGATCCAATGACTTGACTTTGTTTCTTCAAAGATGCTGCCAGCTCTGCTGACCATTTCCGGCATTTTGTGCATCAGTTTCCAGAATCAGCAGTATTTCCCTTTGTCTTTTGCTTGCTGATTTATCACAGTTATAATTTGGGCACAAAATGATTTGTTGTAGTAAGTGAAAATATATTGTTTGATTACCTTGGGCTTTACATATAAAACTGCAATAACAATTTTAGATTTTATATCAGGAACAAAGTGCTTTCATGTTAAAAGAACCGCAGTAAAACAATAATATTTCTATCTCCCTTACCGGTTGTGAGCCAAGATATATTTATGTTATTAGAAACATTTTTTCAATTGTGTCAATAAAACAAACATAAAGTAAAGAACTGCGGATGCTGGAGATTTGAAACAAAAACAGGAATTGCTGGAGAAACTCAGCAGATTTGGCAGCACCTGTAGGAAGAAACCAGATTTAACGTTTCGAATCCAGTGACTGCACTAGAAGTGTTAGTAGCTTGGAAAAAGTGTTATTTATGCTGAAGTTGAAGTCGGGGGAAAGGGAGAGGTGAGCATATAGGTGGAAATGGAGCCAAAAGAGAGAGATAGAGTGGTAGCTGTGAAAGGGATAGGTAAACAAGGAGATTATGGATAGCAGGCTGGCACAGAAAAAAAGCTGAAGAAGTGATAATAAGAGCTAAGAGTGAAAAAATGGATTAGCTGTGCTGAATGCAACGCATATAATGTGATCGTGGACCTGGGAGTACATGAGAATGGGTGACTATGCTAAAAGTAACCCATGTCATAATATGACCAGTATGGAGTGAGTAAAAAACATGGGACGATGGAATCAGGTTCTAAAGTTATTGAGCTCGATGTTGAGTCCTGGAAGCTGCAGGGTCCCCAAGCAGAAATTGAGATGTTGTTCTTTAAGCTTGCACTGAGGCTTACTGGAACATTGCAGCAGGCCTGCGACAGAAATGTTAGTGTGGGAACATGATTGTGTTTGAAGTTGTGGGAAACTGGTTACGTTTGAAGTTGCAGCCAACTGGAAACTTGGGTCATTTTTCCAGACAGAATGCAGGTGTTCTGCAAAGCGGTCACCCAGCCTGCTTTTCGTTTTCCCAATGTAGAGTAGACCACACTGTGAACAGCAAATATAGTAGACTAGATTGAATGAAGCACAGATAAATCCCTGCTTCACCTGGAAGGTGTGTTTGGGGCCTTGAATGGTAAGGAGAGAAGAAGTAAATGGTCAGGTGTTACACCTTCTGCAATTGCATGGGAGGGTGATGTGGGAGTGCAAGGAGATGTTAGGAATGGAGGAGGAGTGTACCAGTGTATCCTGGAGGAAGCGTCCCTGTGGAATGCTGGCAAAGGAGGGGAGGGGAGGGGAATACGAGTCTGGTTGTGGGTATCCATTGAAGGTGATGGAAATGGTGGCTTACAATCCTTTGGATGCGGAGGTAGGTGGAGTATTAATGAGGATCGGGGGATCCTATCATTGATATGGGAGGGAAGAGAAGGGCTGAGGGCAGAAGTATCTTCACTTCGTGGGCATCTTCACTTTGTGGACAGTAATTCTGGGGTCAAATAAAGCCATGAAATTGCACAAATTCTCTTTTCCATTTTCCTCACTGCAGTACTGCTCCTTGCCTCCAGAAAACTGTCCACGAGTGAGGATTATCGACATAACAGGCAGGAAACTGTTCAACCTCCACAGCAATCCAGAATTAAAGCCACTCAAGTCTCAATGATAGAACAAAAGCAAAGTTTCTGGAAAAGCTCAGCAGGTCTGGCAGCATCTGTGAAGGAAAAAACAGAGTTAACGTTTCAGGTCCAGTGACTCTTCCTCAGAACTGACCGGGTCACCAGACCTGAAACGTTAACCCTGTTTTTTTCCTTCACAGACGCTGCCAGACCTGCTGAGCTTTTCCAGCAACTTTGCTTTTGTTCCTAATTTACAGCATCCGCAGTTCTTTCGGTTTTTATCTCAATGATAGAGTTCAGTATGCAGATGGTACTTATCAGATGATA